ATTCAGTTTATCGTTTACCAAAACGAACCTTGCTGCAAACCCTACCCTCTTACCCAACATCCCAGTGACTCCTCGTGGATGTGCAGAGGATTTCTCGGCTTCCATCAAAGCGAGTGTCATGTCAACACAATCCTTCCCATTCCTTTCTTGACCTGTGTTCGGGCGCGGCCGGCGCTGGTATTGCCTAATTTAAGATCACCAGTTTTTACACATTGAGGATGATTGCTAGTCCCAAGCATCGTCTATTGGTTCTCTGTGTAATTACAGCTGATCTGGCAGTAACAGAGTAGCAACCGTGGGCGGTCAATCATGCTCAATTTTGTTCACTTCAGAGGCACTTTCACAACCGAGCTGCTGGATCCGCTTTGCAGAAACTTCTTCCAGTCGACAATCATTAACGGCTTTTTCGATAGTTATTTCACTATTGGTTGTTAACCTCTTTCGGAGGTGTGGACATCTATTAGCCGTCACGATTTTGTATGTAATAAAACGATCTTCTAGTTCCCCCAACTGACACGGCTTCACCAACATCTTCAACTTTGTGTGGAATTCATCAATCGTTTCCAGCTCTTGTTTCACAGAGAGAAACTCCAACAGATCAAGCACGCTAACTTCTGCTTACTCACCAGGTGAGTCGATCGTACTCACTTTCGTCCGATGTATCGAGTTGTCAAAAATTGAGTAAACGAGAAATGTCAAACTGAGTAAAAGCCACTCAGTCAGCAAAATCCTGGTCTTGGAAGAAAATGCCAGTCATGTCGGAGGAAACCTCATAGAAAATGTTACTCAAAACCGGCTGAAATGCCTTCAGGTACCTAAGTACGAATTGCTTAGGGAAACGGTGTTGAACCGTTTTTTGCTCCGGTAGAATGAATCCGGAGCAGGCAATTTCCATTTCCTTGAATAAAAATCAAAACAAAAACTCTTAGGATTTGACTCAGTCTACGTGAGAACGTAGTTTACTCAAAAGTGAGTCAACATAAGGCTTCTCAATTTTGAGTAGCCATACTTGCCACTGAGATGAGTACATTCGACTCAATTTTGAGTTGACCAGAATAAGCGTGAGGTTCATATTCCGCGGACGAACAACTTTTTCTTTGATAGCAGCGAGAGCTGCTGCTCACCATTCACCATGCGACGCTGTTCTTCCGTCAATTGAAAGTTGAAATATTTTCGCAACGCTTCAAATCCTATCACTGATATTAAAAACCGGCTTTCTTCGGTTCATCTTCGGCAGACCACTGATTCATGCCAATTGCACTAGCGTAATTTTCCCAATTACGCTTGAGAAAATCAAAATTTTGTTCCATATCCCCCTCCAGACATAGCGGGGGAGGTTGAGGAACAGGCTGCGACGCCACAGTTACTAATGTTTAAAAAAACCGCGGAGCTCTAGGATCAGTTTCATGGATGGACCACTTTTAAGGATCTTTCGGATCTTCCGAAGGATGGTCTCATTGCCATCTGGGACCATGTTTATGTCACGACCTCAAATTATTTCTTATATCACAGTTCAAAGTGTTTTCGAAAAAACCGCGGAGCTCTAGGATCAGTTTTATGGATTGACCACTTTTACAGATGTTTCGGATCTTCCTGAGCACGCTCCCATGACCATCCAGGTCCGTGTTTATGTCATGAACCCAAATTCTTTCTTATATCACAGTTTCTAATGTTTAAAAAAAAAACGCGGAGCTCTAGGATCAGTTTCGTGGATTGATCAATTTTACGGATGTTCCGAATCTTCCGAAGGACCGTTCCGTTGTCTCCAGGATCCATATATAGGAACCATGACTGTATTCTGGGTAGTTATGAACATTTGTGCCCATTAATGTAATTTATGGATCCTAGGCCACTTACAAAACCCATAAACACTCCTTTAAAAAAAACAGTGTAACGACCAGTACTGTAAATTCTCAAAATCAATTGAACATTTTTGAAGAAAATGATAAAAGCAGCTATCCGCTATCGAAGGGGACCTCCTTCGAATGGTTGATATCAGTTGCTTAGCCATTTGACGAAGGCATGCATGGTTCATTCTCATTTGAGAAACGCTTGATGTCATTCAATTGAGTGTAACCTACACATAAACTGGTCGACATTCCGGCGAAAAACACCAACCTGACTTTTAACAAACCCCAACCAGATGTTGACATTGGGCCGACATCGACCTTTATAGTCCCTTTAACGCTCTTGGGTCATTCGTGACTTGTCCGGGGGTGACATTTAAACTCGAGACTGTGGTGTGAGAGGTATGGATGCCAACCGCTACACCGGGGTCGACTTATCTGTTCGGGACTATTTTGCTGGGTTTCTTCCATACTCCACTGTCGTGTATAAAATTAAAGTGAGGCTGTGTTTATTTGAAAATGTTTCATCTGTCAAATTTAAGTGAAAATTCACCAAATGGAACACAGCCTGAGTGACTCAATTGACAGTGACGAAGAGTATGGAATGAAAAAGGGGCTCTTCAAAATATGGTCATGTGAGAATTCGTTTTCACAGAATTGATTGAATGGCTGTATTGGTTCATCTTCAATCGAATGATATGGAAATTAACAGCACTGGTAACGACTCTTTTCGCTTTTGAATAAGGTAGACGACTCTATTTTCAATATATCAAAATAATCTACAGACCCTAGGAATTCTAGAAGTACCACAATTTTTTAAATTCATCAAGAAATGGCTAAGTTATGCCATTGTAAACTTTCCGTTACACGTTTTTTGGAGGCATCGTATTCGGAGTGTTAAAGCGAAGACTACAAATCAAGAAGACTGGCAACTCTGCAAAAACCAGGAGACAGTAAGGGCAACGCCTCTTCCGAGCAAAAGTGGAACCTGTGTATGATGGTGTGTGTTAACTCACGAGTGCATTCACACGCATAGGTAGAAATAATTAGCTATCAATTATTGGTTTTGTTATGATTGTCGTAAAAAGTGAAACGTATCTTTCTTTGCTTTATGCTGACAACGAGTTAGAAATCCAGCTGAAATTGAACGTAAGTAAATTTGTTTTGAAAATTAAAACTATGGCAATGATGCCATGCACAATGATGGTAGGACCTTCCTCGATCATTAATTTGCTATCTCAGAATTATCTTCCTCTTTTCCTAAGCCCTTTAGTGATGCATTTATGAGCATTCGTATGGTGCATTAGTAAAATGCATGCCCGTTCCGCATGGCATTGGCACCTGGCCATAATGGAGGGCAACTTGGCTTAGTACTCGCTGACCATTTGAATGTCACTGGCCAATCCGACACTGTTGTTATCATTCTCTGGAAGTGGTTGGTCGATTCCAAGAATTGTTAATGCATACAGAGGATCACTATCCGGTGGTTTCATGTTCTGACAATATCTAAAATGGAAATATGTACCGTTTGGGATTGTAGTCCTTCAACCTTTAATTTTCATTTTCTCCAACATATGATCCTGCTACGCCTTCCGTTGGATCGTGATGTAGGAACCGGATCTTTCTTCTTTTTGAATCCTTGAATTTTCAGCAGCTTTCGAATGACGGTAGTTCCTTATATTTGATTGCTTCCAACAGGCACAGTAAACAATATTCCCGAGTTTCAATCCTCTACCATGACCACCATGACAAGTTTTTCGGGTTGGAGTTGAAAAACCACCGGCTTGCTGTGATTAGGATACAAATTCCCGTGAAACTTTATAGAGCAAAACAAAAACAACAACGAGTACCGTGTTATGATTATTTGTTTCGGTGACATTAGGTCACACACACAGTCACTGTTAATAAGCAGTCTCGCTAACACTTGTGCTTTAAAGTTCCACCTTTGATTGTCAGAGGCGCTGTTATCAGTGACGTTTGACATTTGTATGGGAGAAGGGAACAGTTGCCAGTTTTCTTGATTTGTAGTCTTCGGTTAAAGTCTATCGAAAGCCTGTGGGTTAAAAACCATGTAGAATGAGTATGTTTTGAGTGATTAAAAAATCACTCGGTATGTTTTGAGTGTTTAAAATATCTGACCGCATTCAGAACCTTCCAACAGAACCGATTTCAGGGGAATGGCCATATCTTGGTTGATTATATGCCAATTTTAGTTCTTGATGTATCATTCGCTTTGGAAATGGTTCTTGCTTCTGTGAATTTATATCGATTTTCAACCAGCATTCTATAGAAGATCACAACACAAATTTAGAAAGTTAGACAAGCCCTCCGAAAAACCGGAAAATCTGCGGTATCTGGTGACCATGATTATTTTCGTGGCAACACCATAAAATTATATTAGTTTTCCAGTTGAATGCTTTTGAAATAATTAAAATCAGACCTCATTTGACGAAGTTACAACACTCCAAAGTTGACGAAAAATTTGCCTATCCTAGTTATTTTGAGTATCCCCTGTAATTATGCAAATCGGAGAATGTCAAGTTTTTCCGATTCATCATTTGGCTTGGAACTGCTCTGATCCAGTCAAGATGTGCAATCAATAGAATCCATTATTTCCCACATTTTTTTTTAATTTTAAATCGATGTCGAACAGAATGGATATTAGGGTTGAAAGGCTTTCAGTAATTTATGACTTTATAATCAAATCAAGCGTTCAACGATTTCAATTCTGCTGATATTTTCCTAACAACTAAAGTTTACAGCTAGATACGCGAACAGACAGTTCACGATAGGTACGCATCGATGATCTGCCACCTCGTGAGACTTGATCAATTAGACCGACCAAATCCATTGGTCACACAGCTCGAAGCCAGTGATCGTAGCTGCATTCGATCAAGTGGAACCACGTCAACACACCACTGACTGTACCGCGATCGCGCTCTGTTAATGACCTCTAATTCCTCGTTGAGCTTGTTCGAAGAAATTAGATTGAATTCGAATTAACTGTCCCAAAAAAATACCATGATCCCTTTTCCGAAGGGTCATGTCTTCCACCTAAACGTCTTAAGCCGATGATGACACTTTGGTGGTCGCGGAAATTCCTGAATTAAAGCGACGAAACTGTGACGAAACGTCAATACGCCCTCTCGGGCGATGACAGGGCGAAACCCGACCACCCCGCCATACAATGAGGGTCACAAGAGAAGACGCACGATCGATTTGTGGCTTCATTTCTGGATCATTGATCACCGCTGCCGTATATATACGACACTGTTCGACTGGTACAAGTTAGTTGCTTTAAGCGCGTGGTGTCTAAACGATATGATTCTAAACTGTGTTCCGGTGGTGTTGATCCTAGTCGGATCGGTGCGAAGTGGCCTAACGTATCCCTATGCGGACCGGTATCCGTACGGTACGGCAGTTGTGTCGGAATCGAAACTACTCAAGGGTGCATCCAGCAGGGGAACGTCCGAAGGAGGGAAGGATTTGCGTAACTTTAATCGTGATCATGTGTTCGATGAAGGTGGCAAGATCAACTCGGCGACCGATGCGGTTCGATATCACGCACTGGACAACCAAGTGAATGGGCACAGGATAGCGGATGCCTCCCAGGGTGTATCGCAGGATAAGGTGAAGCACTTGGCTGGTGAGAACTATGAAGCCGATAAGTCCCACAATCAAAAGCAGGTGAAGTCGGGATTTACGAATTCGTATCACAAGGACGAATCGGGCAGCAAGAGTTCGTTCTACGAAGACTCGGACGATCGCGGTGGAAAGCAGGTGTTCGACAATCGGCAGAACTTGCGGAACAACTATAACGATCATCTGTACAATAAGGAGCTGAGGAACGATCAGCTGCGGGATCGATACGACGATCGTTTCGGAGGATTCGATCTTCGCGGGGTGCGTGACTTCCATCATCAGGCGGCTGCCGATCGAGGTTTGTGAAGTTTGGTTTTTTGTTGTTGTTGAAATCTAGGAAATTTATCAAGTATGTTGTTCTACTAGGCAACCTGCACGATTACCGTGACGGATTCCGCGACGATCGCGATCATCACGTGCACGACTATGGGCAGGAAATCTACCCGGGCCTTCCGCCGATGGTTCCGGTTCGCAACTACGATGAACTTTTTCAGCGACGCACCTTCCACGAACCGAGACCGATGTTCAAGACGGCACCGCATGCACCCATCACGGTGTACGAAGATCCGCGCGAGTACCAGTACGACTATCCGGCGCATTCGGTTGGTGATCGGTTCCTGCGGCGGTACGACGACGATGTGGCGGAACGTACGCGGATCATCTTCAGACCTAGCCCGCTGTTGAACTACAATAGACGGTACTAGGGTTGACTGCAGAATTGAAGCTTTTATTCGAAAAAAAAAAAAAAATATCTGTATGTTAAACATACGTTGAAATAATCGAAATTCAAGTACATAGTTCAACTATATTTATATTTAAACTTATTGGTGTACGAACGAAGCGAAATAAATTACCCAGTATTTTACAACTAGTTAAGTAGTAACGCTTAGTACTCTGGCAACAAATGAGGTTGCAAATTCAATTTATTCTACATCGGCAGGTCTATTGGCGTTGACGGCACCGCCGAAACATCGTCTCTTCTAGTAAAGATTGACAGATTCTTATGGGAATTATTAGTGGAGTGAAAGGATAGTACGAAGTCCGCCATGTTTCTCGCACAGTCTGACGTTTGCTTATGGATTTTACCATAGGAGTAAACTGCCAGTCCAAACTGTTTGAGATCATCTTGAGCGAATTTGTCCTGAATCGCTCGAAGAACTACCTCTGGAGTACCTCAGGGAAGTATCCTGGGTCCACTTTTGTTTACGTTATTTTTCAACGACGTAGCAGCTTCGTTGGGAATTAAATGCAAGCTCGTTTATGCAGGATCTTAAGCTATATACGTCATAGTTCACTCGATTGAGGATTGTCATCGTCTTCAAGCTCTGCTAGATTTGTTTGTGGATTGGTGCCGTCGCAATAAGCTCATCATCAGCGTTCCAAAGTGTGCAGTGATGACGTTTCACCGCTCTAAGAGTTCAATCCTTTACGACTACTGCATTGACAATGTAACGTTTCGCAGAGTAGAACGTATTACTGATCTTGGTGTTCTTTTGGACCCAAAGTTGACCTTCAATCTTCACTATTCTTGGCTGTTTTGGCTTTTACCTTTCTCGTATTCGTCCTAGCGTGAAATCTGAATCAATCGAGAAGCTGGTCAAAGGTTGTGTACAGTGTGAAGATCCGATTAAGGTTGTGCCGCTAGTCAAAAAAGGATCCGACATCAGCCGTATGAGCTTCATCTCGTACAAAGTCGGAATGGATCCCAAACTACGCGAAGCTGCTTTTAGATCGGATACATGGCCGAAAGGAATTTTGTTCCGTGAATTTGAAGACGGTTAAAAAAACATGTGGTTGCCTCGTTTGAACACGCCTACCATCACGATCTCTCCTATTCCGGGACCTTCCGAGTTTTCAACTCCCATTTCCGGACTAGACCCAGTCTGCTGATTCAGAATTGGATTTTGCGTTGTGAATTGGAGCGCTGTAGACCAGAACGCACTGCCTGTCGCATTATGGGAGACCTCGAACCACTCGATCCAGTCGCGCTAGCTGTTTCCCGCCATCAAAGCCGTTCTATTTCCTGCCATCAGAGTCGTTCTGGCCCTGCGGTCGAGTTCGGTGGTGAGGTCTCCCGAGCATCGTCGTCAGGCAAGTATGCATACATTAGTTACAGTCATTTGCCTGATCAGTTTCCGTGTTCCCGTGCAACGCTTCATGATGTTTACATCGTGGATAGCACTTTGGAAGCCCCTGATTTCTCTGCCTCAGTCGCGCTTATTCCAGCCAGCGCTCTGCATAGTCGTCTCGGCCCTGAGTGTAGATGTAGGTCGGGGATCTTCCAACCAGCTATTACTGGCAAGTATATTGACGATTCAGCTTCTCCTTTGCCTGATACTGCTTCAACTTCTAGCTGTGTTTCCGGTTCTGCGATCTCCACACTAGCCACATCATGTCCATGCATCCGTCCTGCCAACTACCAGCAAGTTTATGCCGCCACCTGCTCTTCCTCGGATCCGGGACACCCTAAAACAGGCACTGAGGAAGCTTCCGAACCTCCCGACCCAGTCGCGCTTGCTGCAGACATCCGCCATCGTCATCGTCCCGGTCCTGTGGTCGGTGATGGTATCGGGGGCTTCCGGCCTGCAACCTCAGGCGAGTATGTTAGCGATTCCGAGCTTTCGGTTCCTGATGTCCTTTCGATTTCTAGTTCCCGTGATTGCTCCTCGAATGGTCTCCGGATCTACTACCAAAACGTGCGTGGGCTGAGGACTAAAATCGACTCGTTTTTCCTGGCTGTTGCGGAGGCCGAATATGATTTGATTGTGCTGACGGAAACGTGGCTGGACGACCGAATTCACTCATCGCAACTTTTCGGGTCACTCTATTCCGTCTTCAGAACTGACCGGTCTGCCCTAAACAGTCAAAAATCGCGCGGTGGCGGAGTCCTGATTGCAGTATCTACTAGACTAGCCAGCTACGTAAGTACGTCACCTATTTCCAGTCAACTGGAACAGCTGTGGATTGTCGTAGAACTTCCACAAAGCAAGCTTAGTGTAGGCGCAATCTACCTGCCTCCCGACCGCAAAAACGACTGCACGATCATCCGTGAGCATGTGGAATCGTTAGGGTCAATTTCGTCACAATTAAGTCCCTGCTCTCCCGCTTTCGTATTTGGTGACTACAATCAAGCTGGTCTGCAGTGGCGCATTACAGACAGTGGCACACCATTAATTGATCCACTGCTTTCGCATATGCCGGTTGCTTGCTGTGTTCTTTTGGACGGTTTTAACTTTTACGGGTTCACACAAGTGAATACTTTTCCGAACCGAAATGGACGTTTGCTAGATCTCGTCCTGGCAAATGATTCCGCACTACCGGGCACTTCTGTTTCCTTGCCGGTCGAGCCACTGATTGATCTAGATGCCGATCATCCCGCTCTCGTCGTGTCATTTAGTTTACCTGCGCCGATTCTTTTTACGCCGTCATCTGAGTGCTACTCTTTGGGACTTTCGCCGGGCCGATTATGTTGCATTGAACAATGCACTTGCGGAAATTGCTTGGCAATTTATCGAAACTGCCGCTAGCGTGAATGATGCAGTGGATTTTTTCAGTGCTGCACTGGAAGATGCTATTTTCCGCATTGTCCCAGCTCGACGACCTCCGCTAAAGCCTGCATGGTCTAACCCACGCCTACGCGTGCTAAAACGTCAACGCTCTGCCGCCCTCCGAAAGTATTGTAACTCTCGCTCGCCGTACTACAAACGACTGTTCAATTTTGCGAGTCGTAGTTATCGAAATTACAATAGTTTTCTCTATAATCGACACGTGAGACGCACGGAAGCGAACCTTCGCACGAATCCGAAAAGTTTTTGGTCGTTTGTCAACTCAAAACGGAAGGAATCCGGGTTGCCTTGTTCCATGTTTCTCGGGAATGACTCGGCTAATAGTGAAAGAGAAAAATGCGACTTGTTTGCTCGTCATTTCAAGCAAGTGTTCAACGATTTCTCCGCTTCGCCAACACAAGTGCTGGATGCTGCTGTTGAGATGCCACGTGATGTGTTTAGTTTCGTTATTCCGTGCATTTCAGAAGACATGGTGATAGCCGCAACACGCAGACTGAAGCTATCGTTCGCCTCCGGACCTGACGGCATTCCGTCATCAGTTCTAAAACGTTGTGTAGCCAATCTCTGCCTTCCACTTGCGAGGCTATTCAATCTCTCGGCACAGCAATGTGAGTTCCCCTGCCGCTGGAAACTTTCTTATCTGTTCCCAGTGCACAAAAAAGGAGATAAACGGAATGTCATAAATTATCGTGGAATCACCTCCCTGTGTGCCTGCTCAAAACTGTTCGAGATTATCATAAATGGTGCTCTGATCGCACGCTGCAAAAATTATATCGATACAGAACAACACGGTTTCTACCCGAAGTGCTCCGTGTCCACGAACCTGGTGCAGTTCACTTCTAACTGTCTGCGATGCATGGATTCAGGATGGCAAGTCGATACGGCGTATATGGATCTAAAAGCTGCATTTGACACGGTGGACCATAATATCTTGCTGGCCAAGCTGGAGATACTTGGCATCTCGTCAACTGCTGTGGATTGGTTCAGATCTTACTTGGTGAATCGCTATGTACATGTCAAGATTGGCGCGTCGGAATCGGATGTTTTCTCAAACAACTCGGGAGTCCCGCAAGGCAGTAACCTAGGACCGCTACTATTTTCGATCTTTTCAAACGATGTCGCCTTGCTGATACCATCAGGATGCCGCCTTTTCTATGCAGACGATACGAAAATCTACAAAATTATTAAAAGCCTGTCGGACTGCTGGGATCTCCACAATATGTTAGGTATTTTTGCTGACTAGTGCTCCAGAAATTTGATGAGTCTAAGCATAGAAAAATGTAACATTATTTCCTATCACCGAAAAATCGAACCAATCATGTTTGACTATGTTCTCAACGGACGCTGTCTTGCTCGTGTAGAGCACATAAAGGATCCCGGCGTTACCTTGGACTGCAGACTCACTTTCAGAATCCACTACAATGACATCATCTCCAGAGCTAATCGACAATTGGGCTTTATTTTCAAAATTGCCGACGAGTTTCGTGACCCGCTATGTCTCAGGTCACTTTACTGCTCGCTTGTGCGATCCTTATTGGAGTCAAGTTCAGTTGTTTGGTGCCCTTTCCATGCTAGCTGGATCACTAGAATTGAATCCGTTCAACGCAAGTTTGTGAGATATGCTCTTCGTTTCCTCAACTGGCGTGACCCAACGAACTTGCCACCGTACGAGGAGCGTTGCCGTCTCCTGGGAATCGAGCCATTAGAGGTGAGACGGACGGTCGCTCAAGCTATGTTCTTACAGGTGACATTGACTGCCCAACACTGCTGTCACAGCTAAATATGTATGCCCCTGAGAGGTCTCTTCGTCAACGCGACTTTCTGTTTTTGGAACCACGGAGCCGGAATTATACACAACACGAGCCAATTCGAGCAATCAGCCGGCAATTCAACAACTTTTTTTATAATGTTCGACTTCAATGTATCAGCTGACGTGTTTCGTCATCGGCTACTTGGCCTTTTCCGTACCGTTGACCGTAACTATTTAGTTTAAGTTTTATTCATTTAGACAGTAATTGTCAGTTGAATTTTTCAATAAACAATAAACAACAACATCTCTAAGGCGAATCGTCAACTGGGATTTATTTCGAAGACCCTCACTGCTTGAAGGCCCTATATTGCTCTTTAGTTCGGCCCAT